TGAGTTATTACAACGTTCTGCCGAACGTTCTCCTTTCAGGAAGTGGTTAGAAGTTGCAGCACTTACAGCCGCGTACAGTAGGACAGAATATCAGGAGGTCGGAGCCAAACTGAGCTGCGTTCAGTCGTGTAATGGCTGCACTGTAATACTCAGGTCAACTCTTATGTTAGACGGTAAATTATAAGTAGGAATTTTGACTCACTCACTCACTCACTCACTCACTCACTCACTCACTCACTCACTCACTCACGCACTCACTCACTCACTCACTCACTCACGCACTCACGCACGCACGCACTCACTCACTCACTCACTCACGCACTCACTCACTCACTCACTCACTCACTCACTCACGCACTCACTCACTCACTCACTCACTCACTCACGCACTCACGCACGCACGCACTCACTCACTCACTCACTCACTCACTCACTCACGCACTCACGCACGCACTCACGCACGCACTCAATCACTCACTCACTCACTCACTCACTCACTCACGCACTCAATCACTCACTCACTCACTCACTCACTCACACACGCACTCAATCACTCACTCAATCACTCACTCACTCACTCACTCACTCACGCACACACGCACGCACTCACTCACTCACTCTTTCTGAGTTTGAGAATAGTATAATAGTAATAATAATAATAATGATGATAATAATCCTCGCATTTGATACAGCGCCTTATTGTGTTTTCGAGACGTCTCAAAGTGCTTCACAGGATCGTCTGTAAAGTGGAGTGACTGTGTGTTTTGTGGGCAAAACGCAGCAGCCGATTGCGCAACAGCGACGTCCCCCACAAACAGCCGCGGGTTGTGACACCAAATTAGATTTATTTATTTATTTAGAAGGGATTATTACCCCCAGAAAAGCCGTCCGCTTTTCTGGGGGTAATAATCCCTTCTGCCGGTGAACATAGGCGCGCGCGTGTGTGTGTGTGTGAGTGTGTGTGTGTGTGTGTGCGCATGTGTATGTGAGTGTGTGTGTGTGAGTGTGTGCGCGCGTGTGTGTGTGTGTGCGTGTGTGTGTGTGTGTGTGTGCGTGTGTGTGTGTGCGTGTGTGTGTGTGTGTGTGTGTGCGTGTGTGTGTGTGTGCGTGTGTGTGTGTGTGCGTGTGTGTGCGTGTGTGTGTGTGCGCGTGTGCGTGTGTGTGTGTGTGCGTGTGTGTGCGTGTGTGTGTGCGTGTGTGTGTGTGCGTGTGTGTGTGTGCGCATGTGCGTGTGTGTGTGTGCGCGTGTGTGTGTGCGCGTGTGTGCGTGAGTGTGTGTGCGTGTGTGTGTGCGCATGTGCGTGTGTGTGTGTGTGTGCGTGTGTGTGCGTGTGTGTGTGTGCGTGTGTGTGTGTGTGCGTGTGCGTGTGTGTGCGCGTGCATGAGTGTGTGTGAGTGCGTGTGCGTGTGTGTGAGTGTGTGTGAGTGTGTGCGCGCGCGTGTGTGTGTGCGCGTGTGTGCGTGAGTGTGTGTGCGCGCGCGTGTGTGTGTGTGAGTGTGTGTGCACGCGCGTGTGTGTGTATGTGTGTGTGTGGCGCGAGGAAACCTGCCCAATGTTTTGTCCTGACCCCTGAGCCACAGGACTGCATGTGAGGCACTATATCAAGTGCAAGTACTGTATTAGTGTTATCTCCTATGTGGTAATCACAGAGATGCTGAGTCCTGTAATTTCTCGCTAAAACACATGTCGTTAACCCTATAGCGTATTCAGTTCAAACCCGGTGCGACTAAGCTCACAAGGTCTGAGCGACCTCTTTACACCTCTGTTTCGGTTTACATACGGAAGATAAATTGCAGCGCGGGTTCAGCTCGCAACAGGAGCGGTATTTCACACAAGAAAACGAGTAGATATGGGATTCCCATTGACGCCGAGCGCAATTGTAGAATAAAACTGATAATAATAATCATAATTATCCCGGCATTTGACCCAGCGCCTTGTCGCGCCCTTCGAGACGTCTCAAAGCGCTTCACAGGATGCACTGTTTTGTGGGCGAAACTGTTCCATCAGAATACAACGACAACAATATATATAAGCAGTCAATGCTTCAGACCCAAACTGGGGGGCTGAGGGGGTGGGGGGGAAAGGAGAGTGACCGAAGGCACAGTCGAAGAGGAGGGTCTTGAGATTGAAAATGACCCCCAAAAGGGGGGGTTTAGCCGTTGGTGTGTTTGTCGCTTGAGGATTAGCGATGAAAGTATTAAAAAAAATTGATATTGAAGGGCACAAACGAAAATTACATCACTATCAAAAACTCAACGGGTTTTAGCTGAAGGTTCGTTCACCAAACTGTCACTTTCTGATCCATCCCAATCGTAAGAGCCGTTGTTAGAATATTCCTCAACAAATTGCTCTGAAAAAGCGTTACGCTCTTCTTTCCCTGAGCACGAATCTCGCCACGAATTGGCCCGAAAATTGGCCAGTTTGCCAATAAGTAAACAGGTGCAAAAGGGAAGTTATTATTTTGCTTCTGAAGCGACAGGATAGCATTGGTTTTGCTATTTTTGGGTCTTTTGTGCAAATGGTTTGCAGTCAGCTCACCGCTGCCACGACTAAAGCAGTTTCGCCCGCAAAACACACAGTCACTGCACTTTACAGTGTATCCTGCGAAGCGCTTTCAGATGTTATTATGATGATTATTACAGTGCGGCTAATTTCTGGTGGGCTACGGCAACCTGCAGTGGCGTCGATTTATTTTTAAATTCATTTTTAAGAGAAAATAATATTTTTTCTCGTACTTACCTTGAAGTGACAGCGAGAGAAACGCAGCCAGAAGCAGGAACCCCTTCATGGTTGGCCAGTCTTCCCAGCTGTGCCGAGAGCCAGAAGAGAAACCGTCGTCCTGTATTTAAAGCTTATTATTAATCCATTTCGGTCCGTGCATGAATAGTCTAAAGATAAGGTGCTTATAGAAGGCATTTAATACCCAAACAAGACGCGTATCAGGGCACAATGCAAGGATGACATTGAGGAGACTCTGTCGTTTACCTCGACTGATTTGTGTTTATTTCTTTGCCAACTCTCTCGCTGTTGGATACAGGACATCATCCTCGCCTTTGACACAGCGCCTCATCACGTCTTCGAGACGTCTCAAAGCGCTTCACGGGGTTACACCGTAAAGTGGGTATTTTGTGGGCGAAACGCGGCAGCCAATTGCGCACAGCAGCGTCCCCACAAACAGCCGTGGGATTGAGTGACCAAATTAAATTTATTTTTTGAAGGGATTATTACCCCCGGAAAGCGATCCCCCAATCGACTGATAACCGGGTTCCTACTGACTGCTGATAAACAGAGCCGTGTGTGTGTGTGTGTGTATGTGGAGGAAGGAAACTTGCCCAACGTTTCGTTGGGGGCGAAGCAGAGGGACTGCCGGATGGAGTTCCATAGGGTGGGGGCAGAGAGGCTGAAGGCCCGACCTCTGATGGTGGGGCAGACGAGGCTTGGGGACGTGAGGAGCCCACCGAGCGGAGGGAGCGGGCGGGATAGTAGGGGGGGGGGGGTCACAGAGGTAGGAGGGTGAGGCTGTGGAGGGCTTTGAAGGTGAGGACCAGGATCTTGAACACATTGGATATAGTCCTAAACCACTCCTTAGCTTTGCGTCGCAACAAAGAAGTAGTTCCAAACGACCGCCGCAGTTATCGAAAGTGGATTCCCACCATCGTTTTATTCAGGCAATGAACAATGGAAAAAAATATATTAGTTCATGGAAATACAATTTTATAATATCTGCTCCGTTTTTGTCACCGTTATAATTTTTAAAAATCTTCATGGACTATAACATACAAAAGACAAAGTATCTATTTATAAAAGTTATGGGGATGAAACGAGGTGAAAAGCAGCTGAACGTGGGGTGGGGGCGGAGGGGGGTAAAAGGCAGGGAAACAAGTTCGAAGCTGACCATGTTAAAGCTTGTGCAAAAAAGGAATTGTTCGATGACTTGTGTTTGACTCACCAATTAATACACAACATTATCAGAAATACTGACAAATAACACCAAATTAAATACAACCACCACTGGTTTCCCAATTTCTTGCCGTGATCTGCTGCGATAGTTGGACAACCGGCCCCAACAATAATAAAATAATAATAATAATCATCCTCGCGTTTTGAATCCAGAGCCTTATCACATCTCCGAGACGTCTCAAAGTGCTTCACGGGATACACTGTGAAGTGGAGTGACTGTACAGTCAATTGCGCACAGCTGTGTCCCACAAACAGTCGTGGATTGAAGTGGCCAATTTATTATTAATATTATTATTATTATTATTATTATTTTCACATATCACACACGGCCGCAATGATCTGTAAATATTGCTTTTGCCAAACAGAGAATAGTCATCGCAAAGAAGAACGCAGGAATATTTACTATCATCGGGATCAGAGCTTAAATTGTCAATAATATTAACATGGAATTGTTCAGTGTAGACATTTTTGTGCATTGAGCAGTCCGTTATATTTGATGATATGGCACACATAGAGATGCAAGTTATTTTAAGATTGTTTTGCGAGACGTTTAAAGAAGCCATTCGTTTGTTAGCGTGTAAAAGTGTTCACACTCTCACCCCAAGCCTCGATCCCAGAATCTTGAAACCCCTGAGTATCAAAATGGTAGGAAATCCTGAGAAAAATTAGTTTTCTTCAGTTAAACCCTTTTGAAAATAAGATATTTTAGTCTGATCGATGTCTTACATCCACCTTTTAGAATACTGTATATTCACAGAATGGGCGAGGTCAGATTGGTACAACACCACTGATAATCCTCGCGTTTGATATAGCGCCTCATCACGTCTTCGAGACGTCTCAGAGCTCTTCACAGGATATACTGTAAAGCGCAGTGACTGTGTGTCTTGTGGGGGAGACAGCGTTGGGTTTAAATCAGTCACTGGAAGTAATTTGAGTAAAACCACTTATAGCGATTACACACAAACCTTTGGGTTGGCTCCTTTGAACGCTTAATATCTCTGGAACACAATCACACACACGAGGTGCGGGGGTGGGGGGGGGGGGGTGGGAGACCTGTAGCCTTGGAAATGTTTTGGCAATTTCGTTTTTTTTGTGCAGTGAACACGGGGACCAAGACAGACCTACGAGCGACGTGTGCTTTGCAGCCGGGCGAGCGTTGACATTTAGGAGGGTCAGTGCTTTGTACACGGGGGTGGAATTTTCCGGGTAACGAAGGTCGGTACAAAGCTTTAGCGAGCAAACGTGCGCGTGTGGGCGTGTGCGTGTGTTTTCCTTTTCGGGCTTCAGTTGACTTTCCCCAGTTTGGCGATGAGCTCGTCGCAGATCTTGGTCAATTCTTCGATCTCTTGGTTCTGCAATTTAAGACGTATTCGACATGAGCCGCTGGTTTCGAAACCAAAGCACTCGCTCGCTTTCCTCCCGCGTGAGATGATTTAAGCACGAATACGCAGTCAAACAGCTTGGGTTTGGAGAGACGAGAGAGGCCGGGATCGTTCTCCTTGGAGCCGAGAAGGTTGAGGGGGAGATTTAATCGAGGGGTTCAAAATTTCGATGAGTAGGAGCAGACAGGGGAGGGCGGGCGGGTGGGCCGGTAACCAGAGGCCACAGGTTTAAGATGATCGGGAAAAAGAACCGGAGGGGAGATGAGGGGACTTTTTTTTACCCAGAGAGTTGTTACGGTCTCGAACGCACGGCCTGAAAGGGCGGGTGGGAGCAGATTCAATGACAACGTTCAAAAGGGAATTAGAGAGGGACTTGAGAAGGAAAGGTTTGCGGGGGAGGGGGGCGGGGGGTTTGGGGTGAGAGCGCGGGGGGAGTGGGGGGACTGATTGGGCAGCTCTTTCAAAGAGCCAACACAAGCACGATGGGCCGAATGGCCTCCTTCTGTGCCGTAAGATTCTTTGATTCCAATAGCGGGCTACATGGCCAGTGGTACAACATGGTGTCATAAGAGTACGAGGTGTTTGTGTGCGGACGGGCTGAGAACAGAGCGTTAAATGAACCTTGGCCCCTCAGTCTCTTTACCTTCTGCTGAATCGTCCTGTCCAGCGAGTCTACTTTCATTTGCTCCTTCCGTAAACTGGCTTGCATGGCCGCACCTTCTGCGCTGGCCTTACCACGTACTTGAGCAATCTCCTCGTTGGCCCTGCGATCACAGCGTAAGTCATCAGTAAGAGCAATTGCGCAACTGCCTCTGGGTCAGGAATTGGTTTGCTTCATGGCTTTGGTCCAACCAGGACCACCACAGGTCCTTGTCACGTGGGGTTTACCGCCCCTTTTTGTCTGGATCGTCCGACTACACCATCCCACCGCAACAGCGGCCTTCAAGTGGGGTAGGATTCCAGAGGGCAGGACTGTGGCAGAGTCTGACCCCAAGCCAAGGAGTGAGGAGGGAGGGGGGAGGTGACCGTAAGCACGACCCAAAAAAGGATCGAATGCTGGGTGGGGTGGGGGACACTTAACCCTAGAAATCTGTGCCTGGCGCGAAGAACAATCATTAGGTTGTAGAGAGTTAATACTCACTTGTCCAGTTTTTCCTCCGCGTGGAGTTTGAGAGCCTGATATCTTGCCTCTTCCTGTTTGACCCTGGCCAGATAATCCTGAGCACATTTCTTCAGTACCTCTTCGTTCTTCGGATGCAAAACATCAATATTTAGAGTTTTTCGGAGCCTCGTTTTGATTATCTCCACCCCCCCCGCACCCCACCACCTCCCCCACCCCCAAAAAAAACCCCAAATGATAATTTGGTCACTGCAAAGAGGTTTGAGACATCTCGAAGACATGATGAGACTCTGGATCAAACGCCAGGATTATTATTGTCATTATTTTACATTTTTGATGAAGGTCGCGGTTCAAGGAAGCGGAAAACATTTGCGGTTTACCTTCTTAAATCCTTCCAACACCCCCTTCATGTTCTCGTATCTCCTGAAGAGATCCGAGAGGGATCTTTCGACTGAGTTAAGGTCTGCCAAGGCCTGGTCCTTCTCCATGATCAGCTGTTGCATGGACGTCTGAGAAGCCATCTTGTTGTGCTGTTCGTCTTCTGATGGGAACAATGGACGAAATGGTCACGTGGAGACCGGCGCAAGCTGGGTAAAACAACAACAACAACAACAGCTGGCGTTTACACTGCGCCCCCTCACGCGGGATAGCGTCCCAGAGCGCTTGAGAGTGACCGTAGATCCCGGTCGATGAGGAAGGTCTACAGGCGCGATGGGGGAGGAGGGAGGGTGAGGTCGGTGGTGTGGTGGTGGGAGGGGGGGTGAGGAGGGATTTGGGGGGGAGAGAGAGAGAGAGAGTGACGGAGTTTCGGGGGCGTGGAGGCTGAAAGCGGGGCAGCCGATGTCGGAACGGAGGAGGGCGCGAGGGGACAAGCGGGGGGCTGGAGCCGGTTGAGAGGAGGCAGCGGGCGGGGGCGGGTGGGAGGGGGGGGGGGGGGGGGGGAGAAAACAAGGTTTAGAATCGTAAAGGAAAGAATACGTCGATTTTCGAACGAAGCAGTGGGAAAAATACCTATCATCTGTGCGATCGTTTTCTCGTATTCGGCAACAATTTTCCTGCGAAGACAGAGGGCGCCACAAGTCATTGATCTTCTCCGGAATTGGATCGCGTGGTCTACCACGTTGACCTGTGACCGCGCCCCGAAACTCTGTCACACTCTCCCTCTCTCTCTCCCTCGCTCCATCTTCCTTCCCCGTCTTCAGCTCGGGCCCGAAGACCTACCTCTTCGACCGTGCCCACGGTCACTTCTTCCCCCCTCCCTCCTCCCCTCCCCTCCCCTCCCCACCGCCGGCTCGGAGTGTGCGTTGGCGTGGGGGCGGGTGGGGTCACTGCTGGAGTCTAACCATCTAAACCCACACACAGCTCCGGCCATTGATGTCGCTGTCTGGCCGAGCTTTCCCGCTGCTTGTCCGGCTTGGACCCCCCTCCCCGTTAGTTAGTTAGTGAGTGAGTGAGTGAGTGAGTGAGTGAGTGAGTGAGTGTGTGAGTGAGTGAGTGAGTGAGTGAGTGAGTGAGTGAGTGAGTTAGTTAGTTAGTTAGGGCTTTGGCTGCGGGGTTAACAGGAGCCGAGGGGGAGGATTTCCTGCCCCCAATGACTGGTCAACTGCACAATAATAGTCAGTTCCCTCTAAATAACTGGTGAGCAGTTCCTCAATCAGGTGCGTTACGGTGCTGTTATCAATCGTAAATAATATCGGGTATAATGTTACCGCATCTCGATGACTTCTTGTCTGCTGCCTTCGTATTTTCGCTTCCACTCGTTCGCCTCCATTTCCTTCTCCACGATCTGCAACGAAAACCATTGATCAGAAACAGAGCCGAAACCCAACCTAAAAGGAAACAGTTGGCGGGACGCCAGTGCTTCGATCCAATGCAAAGAAACAGCTGGGGGGGGGGGGGTGGGCACAGGGTGATGGTGGGTTGCGGGGGGGGAGGTGAAAATGATGGAAGCAAATGGCCTCCAGGTTGATCAGGGCTTCTCCTGCGATGGCACTCACTCGCGCACAGAGAACGCTTCAGATTCATAATCGACTGCATTGTTGAGTTCCTTCCCCCCCATCACCCCAGCCCTCGCCAGCCCCCACTGGCTCCCCCTCACACACACTAACCCCCGTCCCCCCATCACCCCGGCCCTCGCCAGCCCCCACTGGCTCCCCCTCACACACACTAACCCCCGTCCCCCCATCACCCCGGCCCTCGCCAGCCCCCACTGGCTCCCCATCACACACACTAACACCCTCCCCCCATCACCCCGGCCCTCGCCAGCCCCCACTGGCTCCCCTCACACACACTAACCCCCGTCCCCCCATCACCCCGTCCCTCGCCAGCCCCCACTGGCTCCCAATCACCGAACGGATCGACCTCAAGATCCTCTCACACTCGTCTTCAAATCCCTTCACTCCCCGACACCTCCCGACCTCTCCCATCTGCTCATCCCCCAACCCACTACCCGCTGCCTCCGCTCGACCGGCTCCGGCCTCCTGCTCGTCCCTCGTGCCCTCCGTTTGGCCATCGGTGGCCGCGCTTTCAGCCATTTTGCCCCCAAAACTGTGTAACTCTCTCCCCCCAATGCCTCTGCCTCACCCCCTTCCCTCCCCATCTTCAGGTCGTGCCTGAAGACCTTCCTCTTCGTCCGTGCCTTAGGTCACTTCCCCCCCACCCGCCCACCCCACCCCATGCTCCGCCACTGTCAAGAGCTCTGGGACGCTATCCTGTATGGTGGTGGGGGGGGGCGGGCGTTGTGTAAACACAAGCTGTTGTTCCTGATCTGAGGAATCCCCCCCTCCCTCCCCACCCACCTTTTTGGATCGTGCTTACGGTCACCTCCCTCCCTCCCTCACACCCCCCCCCCCGGCTCGGGGGGGGGTCAGGCCCCGCCACCGTCGAGCGCGATGAGGACTCAACCCCGGGGGCTGTGTAAACGCCAGTTGTCGTCGAACGGGTTTGACTGCACAAACGGGGAGCCAACCGGAGGTTAGCAAAGCTTCCAGGCGGGAATTAACAGCAGCGTTTCATGCGGGGTTTGGGTTAGGAACACAGGGAATTTTTACCTCTTCTCGGATTAGGCTCAGGACAGCTGTTTTATCGGCCTCGATCCTGCAGAGTTCATCCCTCCCGCAACAATCCATTTCGCCCAGGACCGCCTGAAAAGACAGAGTGGACTCACTACTGCCCAGTTCCATGGCAGAGAAAGGTATTTGCTGCGGGGAAACAAGAAACCATCACTGTTACCATCACGCCATTTCCTGGAGATAATATTCCTCAAGTACATAAGGATTTGCCGGGCGAAAAGGAGACCGAGTACCATCTCGTTCTCCTTCCGCCATCCTGGCAGTCGCTTGACATGTCACGTTCCCCCGAATTATACTCTCGACTATTTATTTTCCAGCGGTTAATCGATCTCATTTGCTCATGAAACAAACGTCTGCTTTCTGCTCCCACCCTCTGTCTCCCTTCGGGAGCCGATTCCACGAGTTCTCCCGCTCGCCCAAGTAGATTTATTCTGAATTTAAGTCCCTTCAATCGCAAGGCCTTGACCTCCGGTTCTACTGTTCAGCACGAGATAAAACATCTTATCGAGATCTACGTTGGCTTTTTCACTGGGAAATCCAAGCCATACAACCACTGAGAAATATTAACAGTAGCTCTTAAAGGAATAAATGATTCGCCAGCAATAGATATTTTCCGCCCACGGCCGATTCAAAAGTGACTGCCTATCCTGTGAAGCGCTTTGAGACGTCTCGAAGACGCGATGAGGCGCTGCGTCAGATGTCAGGATTATTATGATTCTATTTTTAACACTGACAAAGTGTCAACACACTTGCGATGGCTCAGGTGGAACAAAACCTTACAGACTCGGATGGATGGAACCGAAACCCATTTAGTTTCTGGAAGCAACAATCACAGAATCACAGAATTATACGGCGCAGAAGGAGGCCATTCGGTCCATCGTGTCTGTGACGGCTCTTTGGAAAGAGCTTCCAAATCAACCTCACTCCCCCGCTCTCTCCCCGTAGCCCTGATCAACCCCACTCCCCCCGCTCTCTCCCCATAGCCCTGATCAACCCCACTCCCCCCGCGCTCTCCCCATAGCCCTGATCAACCCCACTCCCCCGCTCTCTCCCCATAGCCCCGATCAACCCCACTCCCCCGCTCTCTCCCCATAGCCCTGATCAACCCCACTCCCCCGCTCTCTCCCCATAGCCCTGATCAACCCCACTCCCCCGCTCTCTCCCCATAGCCCTGATCAACCCCACTCCCCCGCTCTCTCCCCATAGCCCTGATCAACCCCACTCCCCCGCTCTCTCCCCATAGCTCTGATCAACCCCACTCCCCCGCTCTCTCCCCATAGCTCTGCAAACGTGTCCTCACCAAATAATTATCTATCTCTTAAAAATTGTTATGGAATCGGTTCCCACCGGCCTTTCAGGCAATGCATTCCAGATACCAACAGCTCGCTGTGTGAGAACATTTCTCCTCCCCTCCCCTCTGATTCTTTTAACAACTATTTAAAATTGACGCCCTCGGGTTACCGACCCACCGCCAGTGGGAATAGTTCCTCATTGTTCACTGTCATAACTTTGAAAACTTCTATCAAGTCTCCTCTTAACCTTCTCTGCTCCAGGGAGAATAATCCGAGCCTCTCTCGCCTCTCGTGATAACTGAAGTCCCTCATTCCTGATACCATTCTGGTCAATCTCCTTTGCGCCCTCTCCAATGCCTTGACATCCTTCCTAAAGTGTGGGGCCCAGAACTGAGCACAGTCTCTAACTGAGGCCTAACCAGTGATATTATATTAAGGTTCATCATAACAATGTCTGCGTGCACAATTAATCCGCCAATTTAACAGGGGGTAGCAGGATGCCTTTGACTGCTTGAAGACTATGATGGACCTTCAAAGGGAAACCAATTGTGCTGATGGAATGAAACTTTCCCCGACTTGAAAATTCAACCTTGACCGCCTGTCTGGAACCTCGCCAGTTGGGTGTTGCTCCGCAGATGTCCTTGTCTGGATTGGAACAGTTATACATTCCTCTATAATCTCTTTGTGGACTTCCCTGTAGCTCAGTGGTTAGAGCCCGCGCCTCGCAAGCGAGAGGACCCGGGTTCAATTCCCAGGCGGGTCAGGGCAGGGCGAAACGTTGTGCAAGTTTCCTTACTCCCCTCCCACCCCCAACCCCCCCACCCGCCCCCCCCCACACACACACACACACACACGCCTCTGGTTACCAGCAGTCAGTAGGAACCCGGTTGTTAGTCGATTGGCCGATCGTTTTTCTGGGGGTAATAATCCCTCCAAAAAAAATAATAATTTGGTCACTTCAACCCACGGCTGTTCGTGTGGGGGACGCTGCTGTGCACAATTGGCTGCCGCGTTTCGCCCACAAAATACACAGTCACTACACTTTACAGTGTATCCTGTGAAGCGCTTTGAGACGCCTTGAAGACGTGATGAGGCGCTGTATCAAATCGAGGATTATTATTATAATTATTTGTACTCCAAATGATAATCAGCGATCACCCTATCACTGTGCGCTCCTCACAACTCACTCACTCACCCACCCACACATCCCGCCTTCCCCGACCTCCACCCACCCACCCATCCCGGCCTCCACCCCTTCCTGATGCCAACCGCCAGCTCGGGAGCAGCCGAGCTGTTCAAAGCGCTTCACGGGATACCACCGTAAAGTGTAGTGACTGCGTGTTTCCGTGGGCGAAATGTGCTCAAGTTAGATTTGATGGTCTCAGGTACAAATACTTTGAAGGTAACAACAACAACAACAGCAGCAGCAACAACAACAACAGCAGCTCCCATGCAAGTTAGTCCAGTAAATCTTGTGATACTTACAGGTACTGAAGTCCCATGTTCCTGATGGTCTAACTCTTTCGATTTGACAGCATCTGAAACTGAAGCAGAGGAACGCTCGTTAGGCTAACGGGATTTTATGTCGCTCCTTTTGGAAAGAAGCAAGCGGTCCTCAAATATCCCGCCATTCCAATCCCGTCCGTACCGGCAACTCCGGAAGTCACTGGAGGTATTTACCGGTCACTGTTTGCCCGGCAGTAAGTAGAAACCCGCTTGTTGGTCGATTGGCGGATCGCTTTCCCGCGGTGGGGGCTTAATCCTCATCCTCACCTACAAGGCCATTCACGGCCTCGCTCCCTCCTACCTCTCTGACCTACTATCCTACTTACCTGCCCGTACCCTCCGTTCCTCTGGCTCCGGTCTGCTCCACATCCCCCGCCCCAACCGCCCTACCATCGGTGGCCTTCAGCCTCTCAGCCCTGAGGCTCTGGAACTCCATCCCCAGTGCCTTCGCCGCTTCCTCCCTTTCCTCCTTCAATGCCGGTCTCAAGACCTTTCTCTTTGACCTTCAGCCTTCAGCTCCACTCTCGCCTCTCTACCCCCTCCTCGCTCCCTCCCTCCCCTCCCCTCACCCTGACCATTTCCCCACTGCTCGGGTCCCGACCCAATTGTCCAGTATCTTGGGACTTCCTCCCGACATGAAAGGCGCTCTATAAATGAAATCTTGTTGTTGTTGTTGTTGTTGTTGTTGTTGTAATAACCCCTTCAAACAATAATAATAATAATGATTTGGTCGCTCGACCCACGACTATTTGTGGGGACGCTGCTGTGCGCGATTGGCTGCCGCGGTTTGCCCACAAAAACACACAGTCACGACACTTTACGGTGTGTCCCGTGAAGCGCTTTGAGACGTCTCGAAGAACGTGATAAGGCGCTGTGTCAAACGCAAGGATTATTATTATTATTATTATTATTATTATTATTGCTGTCTTCCAGAAGGTTTGTGAGACTGACGGACAACCCCACGTTTGACTGGACAAATGCTTCCTCGTCGGTGATTTCTAACGTTAGCACAGGCTATGTTGGTGTCGTACGGAATATTATATTAACATCATTATTATATAACTGAGCCCAGATGACAAGAGTTCGAGATGAAGAGGTCTTTCAGCCCATTTCATCTCGTTCCTCCAGAATACAGCCCTACTCACTGCTTCCCATCACAGGGTCAAGCAATTTCTTGAAGCCACACGGGCTGTTTTGTGTGTTGTCCCACCGAGTTGGGCTTCAAAGTGCCCGGAACGACGCAGCCTTTTCCTAACCACCGAAACGCCTTTAAACACAGGGCGTAAATTCCCGCTCGCCAACCCGCAGCTGAAGAAACCTCCCGGCCGTTCCATCCCAGTCGGGGGAAAAAAAAAAACCCCGAAAGCCGCTTCCCGCCAGTGATCTTTTCCCGATGACAGATAAGACACAAAAAAAAACATAAAACAAACAGGCGAACGGCGTTGCCAAAGGCAGAATGAACTGATCGCCCGTCGCTACGCTCTTGAGTTCTCTCTCCGGAAAGGATTTTTTTTTTTTTTTTTTTTTTCTGGCGCTCTCACATTCGGATGCGGATGAAAATTCCGTCTTATCCGCAGCGGTTGTGAGGGCCGAACATTCGAAAAACTCTAAGTCTTCCTCCGATTCCCCCTTGACGGCTGGCGGTGCGTGTTTTTGGTTGGTGGCTGATGTTGTCGAAGCCAGTTTTTCCTCGTCGGTCGCATGTTGTTCTCTCTGTGCGGTGTCGGGGGTTTGGGAGATTTGAAGAGCTTCGTCGTCCTGAAAGGCAGAGAATCCATCTTACTTTGCCGCGTATTCTTACGCTGTGGCTATCGCCTCAGAGTTTCGATCCCTTCGAGGCTCCGTAATAAGAATTACCCTCGCACTTGGGAGTTCCCTGGAGCTCGGGGGTCGGAGCCCTCGCCGCGCAGGCGAGTGGGGACCCGGGTTCGATTGCCGGGCGGGTCAGGTCAGGGTGAAACGTTGGGCAAGTTTGCTTACCCCCCCCACCCACGCGCCTCTGTTTATTCTGTGAAGCGCTTTGAGACGTCTCGAAGACGCGATGAGGTTCTGTATCAAATGCCTGGATTATTATTATTATTATTATTATTATTATTATTATTATTATTATTGTTTCGTAACAGTGACTTGTCAGGTCATTGAAAGCTTAGAGGAAGACCGCTTGACCTGCAGAGGGTGCTGCAACACTTCGCTGTCAACTGCCTTATGTATAATATAACGAAATAATAATCCTCGCATTTGACCCGGCGCCTCATCGCGTCTTCGAGACGTCTCAAAGCGCTTCACGGGATACGCTGTAAAGTGCAGTGACTGTGTATTTTGTGGGTAGAACTTGGTATTTTCGGACCAAGGTTCTGGACTGCACAGTGGTCAGGAACCTTGGCGTGTTGTTTGACCCTCAACTGTCCTTTCTACCCCACATCTGTGCCATGACCTGCCCTGCCTCCCCCCCCACCTCCGCAACATCGCCCGACTCTGCCACTGCCTCACCCCTCAAACCCCTGAAACCTTCGTCCGTGGGTTCCTCACATCTAGGCTCCTCTACCCCAAATCCCTGCTTCTCAGCCTCCGCCAACTCTTCCTTCCACAAGCTGCAGATCACCAGAACTCTGGAGCTCGTGCCCTCTCCCTCACCAGGCTCCGTGACCCCATCAACCCCACCCTCGCCAGCTCCCCATCCCCCAAAGGATACAGTTCAGCCTCTCTGACCCCCATCCTCTGGAACTCCATCCCACAATCCCTTCGCCTTGCTCCCTCAAGGCCCATCTCGAGACCCTCCCCTTCCCATACCATCCCTGCCCTCCACCCCACCTTACCCCAACTCCCTCCCCCCATAGCTCCAGTCCAAATCCCTGACTGTCCAGCACCTTGAGACGTCCTCCCGACACGAGAGGCGGTGCGTAAACGTCATTCTGGATTGTATTTTGTCTGCGTAACCTGGAAATTTGCGGTAGATTTCCTTGTTTGCGTAGTTTTATCCAATTGAAGATAATTGCCCTCTTCGTACCCTCTCCCATTTTGCAGCCGACACAATTTCCGGGCGTTTTATTTTTATGCTTTGCCAGACCAAGGCCAACACTGCGGCAAAGTCTTTGAAGGACAGAGAAAATAAACCAACCGTGGAATGTTACGGAAAAGTAAATTATAACTCGGAGTTGCTGGTAAAGCACCAACTAATTGGTCAGAAACTGCCCCGTTTCTCAACGACAGGTAAATCTCTTCCACATGTTGCCTCAGGAAGTCCTCCAAAAAAATCGGAATTTTTTTTATTGAGGTTTAAAGCAACTTCCAAGATATCCTAAAGCTTTTCCTCCCAACTAAGGATAATAATAATACTCGCTGCATTTGATCTAGAACCTTATCGCATCCTTGTGACGTTATAAGACGCTTCACGGACTATACCGTAAAGCGAATCGACTGTATATTTTTGTGGGCGCAACGTGGCAGTCAATTGAGAGTTCCCAATCGCCCAACAACCGGGTTCCTACTAACTGCTGGTGTGTGGGGTAAGGAAACTTGCCCAATGCTTCGCCCGCCCGGGAATCGAACCCGGGTCCTCTCGCTTGCGAGGCGAGGGCTCTAACCCCTGAGCTAAAGGGAACTCCCAAAGTTGATGTTTCTGGTCGGACCGCCAGACCTCTCTCTTTCCCCTCATGCTGTGGGAAGCATTTTCCCAGCCGGTCTGATGGGAAGCTCTCCTCGTCTGTAAATCCCTCAGTTAAAACTCTCCCTGAGAGTTGAATGCACTCTGCGGACCTGTTCGACGTGGATCTAGTATTTTCCGAGCACAATAGATCATTGTGTACTCAGTCACTCCACTGACGTGACTCTTTGTCTCTCTCTCTTTCCCCGGCCGGCTAATGGGTGTGTCGATGTAGAATGCAAAGAATAATTAGCTATCGCTTATCGTAAAACAAGTTTGTCTCGATCGCAAGAAATTTCTCTTGCACCTGTGGCATCCAATTAATTATTGACCGACTTCACCGCTGAAATAACAGCCGGTGTCTACGCTGCCAAACCTTTATACATACAGTGTTGCCTTAATGGAAAGTTCTGATCAGAAGCCGTCTAAGTCCCAGTTAATGTGCGTTTGATGCTTTATTAGGGATGAATTTCTCCAACTGGTTTGCGCCCAAATGCTCAGTGAAGCTCTTGTCTTCCTTCAAGCCCCGTCTGAGGAAACTTCCTCTTCGACCGTGCTTTGCGTCACCCACCCACCCACCCGCCCACTCACCCCCACCCCAATACCCTCCAACCTCCTCCTGACACTACCCCTCCCAACTCCCGTCCAAAAACCCGCTGGACCGCTCAGAGCTCTGGGATATCTTTCTAACTTGATGGAAAGGGAACTCGCTGTACAAGTGTCATTTGTCGTCGTGGTTGTTGTTGTTGAACAGGATCAACACGCGAGTTGTCATACGTGTGGAAACCTACCTGTGAGCATACGTCCAAGACCAGAGATTGGTTTTCGTATTTCTTCACCCGGCAGGCGTTCCTTCACACACAGAGAGAGAGAGAGAGAGAGAGAGAGAGGGGGAGAGAAAAAACACAGAGACACAAAGAACACAAGAGGTCAAACCCCCGACCCACCATTTCACATTGCAAAGCTCCGCGTGTCACACACCTTTACTTTACTTTGACTTTACTTTGCTTTACAGCAGCCGGAGCGGACAAGGAATGTCGTACGATTTGGGTTTATTTGAAAGAAAGACGATGGGTTTAATCACAGCGTTTAGGCCAATTGTCCTTTTTCCGTTTGCTAAATATTGTAATAATAATAATAATAATAATAATGCTGCCATTTGACACGGCCCCTCATCACGTCTTCGAGACGTCTCAAAGCGCTTCACAGGATACGCTGTAAAGTGTAGTGACTGTGTCTTTTGTGGGCGCAATGTATCCGTACAATCAAATTGTGAGGTAAGCCCTTTGACGCTGACTGACTGACTGACTGACAATTCCTTCAAAACAAATGAAAACAAATGCCCTCGAGCGATTTCAAGTGATAATAATCCTAATAATAATCCTTGTATGTGATACGGCGCCCCATCACGTCGCTGAGACGGCTCAAAGCGCTCCGCGGAAGATACCGTAAAGCGGAGTGACTGCGTGTTTGGTGCACGAAATGATTCGTATTTACGAATGTCACTTTTATATATTCTTGAAAGCGATTCCTGCGTTGGTGGCGCTGAACCTAAGGCTGTTTTCCTGCGGAACGTGTGGTCACGTTTACAAGTTTAGAAAACTCAATCCTCTCCCCACCGACTTAGAGGATGAAATCTTTTTTTGCTGCTGTAAGTTACGCCATCAACTCTACCCCAATTAGCTGCCAAACCCATTTCTCCCCCGGACTCGCGTAGTTTATTATGTGCTGTGTTGCGGGAAAATTATTATCGAGGGCAAGAGAGAAGACGACTTTGGCCACTTGGGACTAAAATGATCGGAATACTTTGGGCCACTGAATCTATGGCTTCCCGGATGAAAACTGCGGCATTTGACATTGTAATAATAATAATAATAATAAAATAATAATAATCCTTGCATTTGATACAGCGCATTATTACGTCTTCGAGACGTCTCAAAGAGCTTCACAGTATATATATGTGTATATATATGTGAAAAATTTAATTGTATTTAACATTTTACGAGTAGTCAGTGATATCGGAGAAGATTTTATTTTTAAACAGGAGGTACACAGATACTTGAGCAGTAAGCGAGTTAGGGATATGGAGGAAAGGCAGAGAAATTTGTTTTGAATGGTGGAACAGGCTTGACGGACTGAATGGCCTCCCCCTACCCTTGCTCTCCTCGGCAAATAATCTGCCTCAGCTTCGCCGATACCACTTGGTCGTTGATACAGGAGCAGGAAGAGTTATAAATAATAATAATAATCCTTGCATTTGACACAGCGCCTTATCGCATCTTGGAGACGTCTCAAAGCGCTTCACAGGATACACCGTAAGGTGTAGTGACTGTGTATTTTGTGGGCGAAACGAATTGCACACAGCGACGTCCCCACAAACAGTCGTGAATTAAGTGACCAAATTAATAATATCATCATTATTATTCTTTTGAAGGAATTATTACCGCCTGGAAAAACGATCGGCCCAATCGACTAACTGGGTTCCTACTGACTGCCGGTAAACAGACGGGTGTGTGTGTGTGGAGTAAGGAAACTTGCCCAAGGTTTCGCCCCTGACCTGACCCGCCCGGGTCCTCTCGCTTGTGAGGCGAGGGCTCTGACCCCTGAGCCACAGGGTGTCCACTATCCCAGTGATACACTCCTGGACCAATTTCTCCTCCAGACGTTTGTTTCCCCACAACATTCAGCGTCAGGAATCCGTTTAGAAGTAACACAATTTGTCAACCGCATCGTCAAGGAAAAAGTATTGCAACGCTACAAACCTCCGTAAACCCATGACCTCTCCCGTGACCTCACGTTGAGACTAAAATTCACCTAAAGACCTCTCCGAAAAATAGGCTTTTAGGCAGTTTCCAGTGACCTGCCTCTCCTCGCTCTGTCTGTCTCCTACCCTCTCAGTTAGGCTTCGACTCGACCTGGGAGGGAGACCAGCAGACACCTCGCCCCCTCCCTCGCCTCCCTCAAGACCCATCTCAAGACCCTCCTCTTCGACCAACTGCGCCTTCAATCACCCACCTACCCCCCCACCCTCCTTCGCTCTCCAACCCTCCTGATCCCAACCCTCAGCTCGGGTCCAAACCCCTGACCGTCCAGCGCCTTGGGGCGTCCTCCTGACGTGAAAGGCTCCGTGTAAATGTCACCTGTTGTTGTTGTCACTGCTCTCCTCGCCCATGTATTACTGACCCATCACTAGGGAACACTGCCACTTCAACCATGTTGGAAAAAAGATGCCGGTGGGACTAGTTACTTTACACTCTCGCTTACCACGAAAGCTTACCGTTAAGGGTATCAAGGCCTTGGAGAGGGCACAGAGGAGATTTACCAGGACAGTACCAGGGATGAGGACTTCAGTTACGTGGAGAGACGAGAGAAGCCGGGATTGTTCTCTTTAGAGCAGAGAGAAGGTTGAGGGGAGACTTAATCGAGGGGTTCAAAATTAGGAGGGGTTTTGATAGAGTAAATAGGGAGAAACTGGATGGGCGGGCGGAGGGGTCGGTAACCAGAGGCCACAGATTTAAGATAACTGGCACAAGAACCAGAGGGGAGATGAGACGAGGAGAATTTTTTTTCCTTCACAGGTCTGGAACTCACAGCCTGAAAGGGTCGGTGGAAACGGTTTCTAAAGGGAATTAGAGAGGGACTTGAGGAGGAAAGGTTTGCGGGGATTTGGGGGGAGAGAGCGGGGGGGGGAGTGGGGCTGATTGAGCAGCTCTTCCAAAGAGCCAACACGGGCACGATGGGCCGAATGGCCTCTTTCTGCGCCGTAAGATTCTACGATTCTAAAACCAATTTTCACACGGTTTCGCTTTGAACTGAAAATGAATCTCCCAGTGAGGGCAAGAGGGTTAAAATCAGACGGTAATTGGGTGACGCCATAAATTCGCGTGGCTTTTTTTTTTTTGAATCGCCTCGAAACAACGTTTTTCTAAAGTGCTTTCACTTGAAGAAGGATTGAGGCGAAATCAGCTGATTTTGGCCTAAGACCGACTGCTCAGCAACGATTGCAAAACTGGTTAAATTAACTAACGGCCCGGAAAAACGGAAGAAAATCAATTAATGCCTTACAAAAAAGAGGGCGGGCATTCTTCAAATAGACTCCTGAATAAATTGCCTCTCGTGTAAATGATTACAGCAGAAAGGTGGCGTAATTAATGTCCGCTAATGATGTATCATATTCCTAAAGAGACCAACACATCTTACTGGGTTGGTAGTTATTTCTTACAATGCCTAACAGAGCGTAAGGAAACAGTTGTCTTGACTCTCAGCATCACTATGTCCTGATCAATTGGATTAAGCGCCATGAGACGCCATCCGGGGTGGAGGGCGCTATATAAATCCATGTTGTTGTTGTGGTCGTTAAGCACGAAAATAAACTTGAGTTTGAAAAACGTACCTTTACGAGTCTCGTGTCTCGTAATCATTACGTTCTGAGCTGGAGACGGCGAATGGGGTTCAAGCTCAGAATAATAATAATAACGATAATGATAGCGATAATAATGACAATAATAACCCCGGCATTTGACCCGGCGCCTCATCGCATCTTCGAGACGTCTCAAAGCGCTTCACGGGATACACTGTAAAGTGTAGTGACTGTATTTTGCAGCGTCCCCACAAACAGCCGTGGATCGAAGTGACCAATCTGTGATTATTATTATTATTATTTTTTTTGGAAGGAATTATCATCTCCCGGAAAAGTGATCTGACTGACAACCGGGTTCCTACTGACCGCTGGTAAACAGAGGCGCGTGTGTGTGTGTGTGTGTGTGTGTGTGTGTGTGGGGGGGGGGGGGGGGGGGGGGAGGTGGCGGGTAGTAAGGAAACTTGCCCAACGGGGCTCGAACCCCTGAGCTACAGGGACTACACTTTGTCTCATCCCCTCTCGGCTCGAGAGCATCGTTTTTCTTACGAATACGGGAGAAACAGCACTATTGACGGTATTCGCTATTGAGCGGACGGAAATGGTAACTGAGGGACCTTATTTTGCTGCATCCAATGAGTTAAGGACAGGAGAGAGAGAGAGAGAGAGAGGGAGAGGGAGAGCGCTGTGTTCTTTGTGGGGTAAACTATTCCAAGTACTTACATCAGGAAACAGAGAAACTTGACTTGTTCAATAGTCCTGGTACACACACAGAGAACAGAAGGGGAGGAGAAGATAGACATAGAGACGGACGATCGAAGAGAGAACAGACAAGGACAGGAAAAAGAAAGTCACAGACAGAAACCAGTAAGTCCGACAATTTGGTTAATCAAAGAAAAAAGAGACTTGGTGGAGCATCTGTGATTAATTATTTCGTGTCAATTGGATAACGAGAGATGGGCATCTCTCTGCCCCCCCTCCCCCCCCCCCGCGCCCCCCTTTTGCTAGTTACCTTAACTAAGGAGAGTAATAATAATAATAATAATAATAATCCTCGCATTTGACACAGCGCCTTATCACACCTTCGAGACGTCTCAAAGCGTTTCACAGGATACACTGTATAGTGTAGTGACTGTTTGTTTTGTGGGCGAAACGCGGCAGCCAATTGCACACAGCAGCGTCCCCCGCAAACAGCCGCGGGTCGAGTGACCAAATTATTATTATTTTGAAGGGATTATCACCCCCGGAAAAGCCATCGCCCCCATCGACTAACAACCGGGTTCCTACTGACTGCCGGTGAGTGCATTGCTATGTAAATCGCGTGACTAAACACTGCAGCCTCTGAACTGTGAGTATAAAATCGAGTAATACGCCTTATTTGCCGTACATCTTGAGAACGACCGCTTATCCTCCCTCGATTATTTATTGGAGGTCGGAGACGTCAAACGTTTAGCAAGAAGATCGCGGAGCGGGGAGGGGGCGGGGGGGGGGGGGGGAAAGATCTTTTCATCCTGGTGACGTCGGCTTTTGCTATCGGTCTGCTGACAGCGCTCCACAGGATCGACTGTCAAGCGTAGTGACTGGCGCGTCTTGCGGGCAAAACCCAGCAGCCAATTGCGCCCGGCGACGTCCCCACAAACCCGGTCGTGGATTGGGGTGACCGAACTGTGCGCCGATCTGTGCTGCATGGAATCACGTCCGCTCGACGCGAATGGAATGAATTTAGGCTTCGTTCAGCTTCGGGTAGGAAGGAGAATAAAAATGGAAATGTCCTGAGAAATGTCCGTGACTTGTTGGGATGAACGCCGGCTCAGCCACTGGCAAATGGTTTTAGACGGTGTGATGATTAACGAGCAATTCTTCTTCAAAGAGAGGGCATCAAATGCAATGATATGTTTTTACTCCACTTCTGGTTCTTCTACCATTAGAATACAATAATAATAATAATAATAATAATCCTCACATTTGACACCAGCGCCTTATTCACATCTTCGAGACGTCTCAAAGCGCTTCACGGGACACATTGTAAAGTGTAGTGACTGTGTATTTTGCGGGCGAAACGCGGCAGCCAATTGCGCACAGCAGCGTCCCCCACAAACAGCCGTGGGTTGAAGCCACCGAATTATTATTATTATTTATTTTGAAGGGATTATTACCCCCGGAAAAGCCATCGGCCAATCCACTAACAACCGGGTTCCTAGTGACTGCGAGGGCTCTAACCCCTGAGCTACAGGATTCCAATATTTATAATAATAATAATAATATTAATAATAATAATAAGGGACCTTTACTAGTTCTGTTCCAGCACTGACTACCACCTCCCGTCTAATAATATGGCAGAGGAGCTACGGTGTGATGGGCAGCCTAAGCGACGTGATAAATTATAAATAACTATCTATTTAATATAAGATGCTGCCCCAGGGTTGTGCAACTGGCCTTCGAAATGTTTACGTGGGTTATCAAAAGGAATGCCGTGCCTCGCGCTAAAAGGATTAAACAGTCCGATTTTTATCTTAACCGCGCGGTGAAGCTCAGCGAGAAAGGTTCGCGGTTTCGGGTGACTCGGATTGAAAGGGGAAAGTATTCAGTTGCAGCTCAAGAGAGTCAGGAATCGCAGTGAAAACCCGGAAAATATCACCACTGAAAAGCCATCGGTTATCAAACTTTTGAACGGTTCTTTGTTAACGAAGCCAAAGGGACAGTGAACACGACCTCCGCGGGAAAAACACAAGGTTTCGCTCCTCCCAATTCCTCCGCTGTTGCGTTCTTCGCAACATCTCTCTCCTGTGTTTTGTCGTAATTAATAATAATAATAATAATAATAATAATCCCGGCATTTGACACAGCGCCTCATCACGTCTTCGAGACGTCTCAAAGCGCTTCACAGGATACACCGTAAAGTGTAGTGACTGTGTGTTTTGTGGGCGAAACGCGGCAGCCAATTGCGCACAGCAGTGTCCCCCGCAAACAGCCGTGGGTTGAAGCCACCAAATTATTATTATTATTTTGTATTTTGAAGGCATTATTACCCCCGGAAAAGCCATCCGCCAAATAAGACTAACAACCGGGTTCCTACTGACTGCCGGTAACCAGAGGCGCGTGTGCGTGTGTGTGTGTGTGTGTGTGTGGGGGGGGAGTAAGGAAACTTGCCCAACGTTTCGCCCTGACCTGACCCGCCCGGGAATCGAACCCGGGTCCTCTCGCTCGCGAGGCGAGGGCTCGAACCCCTGAGCTACAGGACAACGTAGTATTTTTTTTTGTATCATTGGATGATACAAAGAGACAGAAAGAGACAGTTCGCATTATCTAATAGCAGTAACAACAATAATAATCCCGGCATTTGACCGGCCCCTGATCACGTCTTCGAGACGTCTCAAAGCGCTTCACGGGACACACTGCAAAGTGTAGTGACTGTGTGCTTGTGGGCGAAACGCGGCAGCGGGGATATGTAAAGGGGTACATAGGAGAAACTCACGTTATCACACGGGGTCTGGCCTTCTTGGGTGATGATTTCATCGCCTTCTCATCATCAGCAGCCAACACGGAGCTGTTCGTGTCCGTGCCATTGGACTGACCCTCCAGAGCAGCCGTGGGTTGGGTCTCGTTGACTAAAACCTTCGAAGGCTTGAAAGGGTCGATAGAATCATCGAAAGAATCAGGCTCAAAATTATAGGAAGCCTTTGGGAGCGTGGGGGAGTTCTGTAACTTGGGCGTCCCACCGAATGGGTTGAAATTGGGATTATCCCATTGATTGGCATCGCACGAATTCGTGCTGGGCGGGTCCTCTAAACTGTTGGCGCTGACGGATGTGTCATCCTTTCTCTCCGAGACCCCCGCCTTCGAAGCTCCCGGTTTGAGTTTCTTCCCGGCCGATTTGCCGGAGTTCTTCCTCCCCGCCTTCTTGGGCTGCGGTTTCCTGTTCTCCGCGTTTTCCTTATCGTCCGAGAAATCGAACTCCAGTTTGAGCGCTAAACCTCTGGGGTCTGCCCGCTCGCTGCCCTCGCCCGCCTCCGCCCTACCCGTCCCCGCGGACACCGGACCGTGTCTGTTCGCGGGGGGCGAGTTTTGAAGCTTGGAGCCTCCCAAACCGAAGGGGTCTTTGCTGTCGTCAAAATCATCGGGGTTGAAATTGTACCCCTTTATCCCCGGGGTTAAGTCCTCTTCCATTCCTACCCCTTCGGCTGCTTCGCCCAGAGACGTTAAAGACCGAGGTCTCGCCTTCTTCTGCTTTGCGTTGCTCGGTGTGCTCTGCGTTGGCTCCATTGCCGGGGTATTTTCCCCAGAAACCCTGCCTTCTACGCTAGTCTCCTGGCTCTTTGACGTAGCATCAACTTCCAATGAACGCAGCAGAAACTCTTGACCTATCTTTCCCGCCCCTTGAGCTATCGACGAGTTTGGTACCGAGCTAGAACCCTGGATCACTTCGACGTTAATGTCGGACGCTACGCTGCGATTTGTACCGGTTCCTATTTGGGCCGGAGGCTTGAGGCTGTGCGCGACCCCAATTTGGTGCGATTCCAACAACGGGTCATTGAGAGTTAGACTCCTCAGAGGTTGGGTCGTTTCTGGCGACTGCTTATCTTCCGCTCGCACACCTGTAGCAGACAAGGTGTAAGGTTGACAGAGAAGGAAACAAAGATCAAGTAAGAAGCCTCGCAAACCAGGTAGGGAGGAATAGTTCGTCCAGTTGTCTAGCGGATAAATTGGCAATTTTACACACATTGACACAGAAAAACCAACTACTCTTTAACCCATAGGGTTTCCCATCAAATGTACCATTTGTTTGTGTGTCTACAGCCATCGAAACTGCTCCGCCAACAACAACAGCAACTTGCATTTGCCACAGCGCAGCTCAACCGGCATTAACTGCGTCTCAGAGCGCTTTATTAGACGAGAGTAACGTAGAGTAGTCTTTCTAATCGTTGCCTTTACTCAGTGGCTTCTTAATGCCATCGCACAAAAGGCAAAAACACTGCGGAGGCTGGAGATCTCCCGCTCACTCAGCAGGTCAGGCAGCATCTATGGAGAGAGGGAGATGACTTAACGTTTCAGGTCAATGACCTGTTCGGTTCGGACGTGATGTTATCGACCTGAATCGTTAACTCATTGTTCCCCCCCTTTAAATACCGTTTCGCCCCCAACGTACACAGTCATTCCGCTTTACAGCAAGCGCTTTGAGACGTCTCAAAGACATGATGAGGAGCTGGATCAAAACGCAAGGACTATTATGACTTCCCAATGACCTGCGTACGTCCCTCCTAAACAGCTCAATTGGTTGTGAAACATCTGGGGTCTGTGTGTTCCGTATCCTCCCAACCTTTTCGTGCGGAGGAATCCTTCTGGGTCCCCTGCAACTCGTTCGACCTTAATCTTAAGATTATCTTAAAGGAAAATGGAGGAATATCGAACTGAATGATACGTTTTACGCAAACACCGACTGCCCTCCGCCCTTTGGAAATCCATCGCACTGTCCCTCTGCCTCGTTTCCTCCCTTATCTCCTTCAAGGCCCGTCTCAAGACCTTCCCCATCATGACCATGTTTCGGTCACTCTCCTACGCCCCACCCTCCACCCCCTCCACCCCCTCCTGATCCCAACCCCCAGCTCGGGTCCAAACCCCTGACTATCCAGCGCCTTGGTCCTCGTCCAGGTCCTCCTGACCTGAAAGGCTCCGTGTAAAGGCAATTATTTTGCGGTTGAACTTCAAGGCATCGATGTCGTTACTTAAAATAGCCCGAAAATGTCACTACGAAGGGGTTTTATTGTGGGGGGAAAAAAAGCAACTTCAAAAAAAAACGGCAGGAAAGGCCCAAAGGAAACACAACAATGAAAGTACGTTTTCCTGACATTATTATTTCCCAAAGCAGCTCCTGTTTGGGGGTTCCACTCCCTGCTCAGACCGGCAGAAGCTTATAAACCATCCTCGCATTTGACCCAGCGCCTTGTCACGGCTTCGGGACGTCTCAAAGCGCTTCACAGGATGTGCTGTAAAGCGTAGTGACTGTATATGTCATGGCCCAAATGCAGTGCCCGACAAACAGTAGTGGATTGAAGTAGAGGAATTTGGTGCGTGTGTGGAGTAAGGAAACTTGCCCAACGTTACGCCCTCCCAGGAACGGAAACCAGGGCCTCTCTCGCCCGTGAGGGCTCTTAACCGCTGAGCTACAGCGAACCCCCACAAGTTCTTCCCAAAGGTTCTTCTGCGGGTCAATGGGGAGCAATTGAAATCACGTTCCTGGGAGAGCACGAGGATATGGATTCTGAGTGAACGTTTCTAATCTGTGGCTTTAGGTTGTTGTGAGTTTGATCGTTGAAGGTCACCCTTCGGGGAACAGGACTGAGGCTGCGTCCACACTGCAGAACGGTTTCACTTCCTCCAATAGGCAGAGAAACATAAGGGTTGTGTGACCCATAATCACCCACCAGTTTCCGTTGCATTTTCACAGACGATTTCATACCATACGTTTCGCCTGCAAAACACACAGTCACTACACTTTACAGGGTACTCCGTGAAGCGCTTTGAGATGTCTCGAGGACGTGATAAGGCGCTGTATCAAAGCAAGCACTTTAAGGCGCTATATCATCATTATGTCATGAATAAACATTTTTTTTTATTATTTACTATTACTACTCAGGAAACAAAGTCTTCGGGAGTCACGTATTTCTGCTCGTGATCCCACCAACGACTTGAGAACAAATGAGTCGGTGCCCTCCTCCCTATCGGCGGAGTATTAGTGATGTATAATGGTGTGTTTTGCGGAGTTCCCTGTGGCTCAGTGGTTAGAGCGAAACGTTGGGCAAGTTTCCTTACTCCGCACATGCACACGCACACGCACACACACACTCACGCACACGCACACACACACATACACACACACACATACATATACACAGACACACACACACAGACACACACACAGACACACACATACATACACACACACATACATACACACACATACACACACACATACACACACACACACATACACAGACACATACACACACACACACACGCACATACACACACACACACACAGACACACACACACGCGCCTCTGGTTACCGGCAGTCAGTAGGAACCCGGTTGTTAGTCGGTTGGGGGGATGGCTTTTTCGGGGGTAACAATCCCTTCAACAAAAACTACTACTAATAATAAATTGTTCACTTCACCCCACGGCTGTTTGTGGAGACGCTGCTGCGCGCAATCGGCCGCCGCGTTTAGGCCACAAAGTACACAGACACCACACTTGACAGTGTGCCCCGCGAAGCGCGTTGAGGCGTCCCGAAGGCGTGACAAGGTGCCGGGTCAGACGCGAGGATTATTATTATCGTTTTGACCGTCTGCACACGAGTTTATCGTTCTTCTGCGAACGGAAACCAGTTACCAGTGCCTTATTCTCTCATGGCAGCTCTTTCCCTCAACCCTTTCAGTCCAACGGCAAACGCTTCAAGAGGTTTAGTTCACCAGTTCGCCGATGAAAGCCTAACCAGTCCCGGCTGACTCACTTGTCCCATTTCCACCCGCCGTTTGTCAGCTACATCTCATCACCTTTCCACAGAACAGCGTCAAAGACCTTCACAGCAAAGTGTCCGCCCTCCGGCGTGAAATTACTTGTGGGTTTAATGATAATAATAATCCTTGCGTTTGACCCGGCGCCTTATCACGTCATCCGAGACGCCTCAAAGCGCTTCACGTGATACACTGCGAAGTGGAGCGACTGTGGATGTTGGTCGAGTTTCCTGTACAACTTTGCATCCCATATTTGTTAGGAAAGAGGTATTGTTTGGTGTCGAATGGGAATCGAACCCGGGTCCTCTCGCTCGCGAGGCGAGGGCTCTAACCACTGAGCTACAGGGACTCCAGATATATCTTTGAGACAGGAGGATGGTCCAATGCCATCAATGTTCAACAAATAGGTTTTAGATGTTTGTATTTGGAAAATAAAGATAATTATAGCTTTCAACCAGAATCTAAGGAAGATTTTCGGTCCTCGAGGAGTTGGGAAAACATGGAAATTAATTATTCATACCTTGTACAGTGTCAGAATATTTCATCGCAATATATATTTAAAGACTCCCATTTCTACGTTATGTACATAGTAATTAAATAAGTGAGAAATCCCAACATCAATAGAAAGCCAATTTGATTTTAAAAAGGATAATTTATTCCCCTGGTTCTCATTGCTAATCTTGCCCCGAGCGAAGCGAAATGGTACTTAATAATAATAATAATCCTGGCGTTTGACCCGGCGCCTCATCACGTCTTCGAGACGTCTCAAAGCGCTTCACGGGGTACGCTGCAAAGCGTAGTGACTGTATGTTGTGCGGGAGAAACGGGGCAGCCAACTGCGCCCGGCGACGTCCCCACCAACAGTGGTGGGTTGAAGTGACCGGGTTATTTTCTGAAGGGTTTATTGCCCGCTGGATAAAGCCAATCGACTCACAGCCGGGTTGCTAATCGTGGCCGGGTAAATATAGTCAAAACGATATATAATTGGTCTCACCATCCGAGCTGAAACCTTCCCGGAGTTTCCAGCGATCGAGCGCAGGGGATTTCTGACTGAATAAAAGGGACTGAATTGCCGGGTGCGCGCGAGTGCCTGGAAACGTGTTGGACACTCTGTGGCTTTGCCACTCCGCAGATTCTGCCAATCGACTCGACTCAGTTCGGGGATTTGAGCCAAATCTCACGGTCGAAACAAGCAGTTGATTCTCGCTGTCGGGGACTGGTCGACTGAGCGATGACACCGGTGACAATAGACGTCGAATTTGCCGATAATAAAGGCTTTTCAACGCTCTTGTTCGAAGCCCAGATTTCTCCCCGTTACGGTTTTGTCCTCGAAAGGCTTTAAATACATGGGCTGAGAGCCATTTGGAGAGCAAACATAATTCAGGCTTTGTGTGTGTGTGTGTGTGTGTGTGTGTGTGTGCGTTTCTGTGTGGGTGGTGTATGTATGTGTGTGTGTGTGTGTGTGTGCATTTCTGTGTGGGTGGTGTATTTGTGTCTGCGTTTCTGTGTGGGTGGTGTATGTGTGTGTGTGCGTTTCTGTGTGGGTGGTGTGTGTGCGTGTCTGCGTGTTTATCTGTGTGTGTCTGTGTGTGTTTGTATCTGTGTGTGAGTGTCTGCGCGCGGGTGTGTGTGTGTGTATGTGTGTGTGTGTGTATTTCTGTGTGGGTGGTGTATGTGTGTGTGTGCGTTTCTGTGTGGGTGGTGTATGTGTGTGTTTGTGTGTCTGTGTGTGTGTCTGCGTTTCTGTGTGCGTGGTGTATGTGTGTGTGCGTTTCTGTGTGGGTGGTGTGTGTGTGTCTGTGTGCGAATGTGAGTGCGTGTGTGTGTCTGTTTGTCTGTGTGTTTGTGTGTGTGCGTGTCTGCGTGTTTATCTGTGTGTGTCTGTGTGTGTTTGTATCTGTGTGTGAGTGTCTGCGCGCGGGTGTGTGTGTGTGTGTGTGTGTGTGTGTGTGTGTGTGTGTGTGTGTGTGTGTGTGTGTGTGTGTGTGTGTGTGTGTGTGTGCGCTCCATACTGTCCCGGTCATTCAAGGATAAACGATGAGCTGTGGGCTCAGGACAAAATGGTCAATTAATAAAACTACAATGCATTCCTAGTTCTTTCTCCCTGTGTGAAAACACATGGCCTCATTCCGTGGGATTAATGGACACGGCATCAATTGCGTTTGTTTGGGGAGTTTACATCTCATCTATTCTGTTGGAAAAAAAATAAAATTGCTTCTTATCTCTCCCTTTCTCTCTCTCTCTCCCTCTCTCTCTCTCTCTCTCTCTCTTTCCCAGACAGACGAGTTAACTTTAAATCCACGTCCTGCAGCTCAAGGTCTAATTCAACTTTGGATCGACTCAACTTTATTCGGGTTGTTATCAAATGCTCTGACGGGGGGGGAGAGGGAGGAGGGAGGGGGTGAGCTTTGGGCGAGGATTTGAAGGTGGGGAGAGGCGGAGGGATCGAGGGAGAGAGTGACAGAGTTTCGGGGCGTAGAGGCTGAAGACAGGGCCACCGATGATGGAGCGGAGAGAGAGAGAGAGAGAGAGAGAGAGAGAGGGGGGGAAACGAGGGACAATTAGGAAACAGATGAGTCTCATGAAATTCTGACTTGTATCGGAGGAGGAGTTGGTGCTCACGGACGCGGTGGGATAATTGGCCCAGTTCCGTCCTGTAAACAATCTCTGCGTCTGCAAAGAGTCCGCCTACTGTTAAAAAAAAATACATCTGATGTCGCCCAAAATGGCCCTCACCCTGTTCTCAAATCTCCCTAACGACCGCGTTTGTTGACGAGGTAATGATATCGACCGCCGAGAGAGGCGTCGCTTAAACACGCCACCCAACGCGACGGGGACTATTCCTCGGTTCCCCTCCCCGCGAAGCCGGAGAAAGGATTTACAATGACATCTCCAGGCTGAGAGCATGTCCGAGATAATTGCCACGTACAGTATTATAATGAGACGCTCGGCGTCTCAGTGATGTTCAGCTATTTTTATCCACAATATCGAGCTGTTAACCACACGTTGGCTCTCCCGTTCCCCAATCCCATCGCAGCGATGCTTTATGAGGACCAGGGATTGTATATTATATATTGGATAATAATAATAATAATAATCCCTGCGTTCGACACGGCCCCTTATCACGGTTTCGAGACGTCTCAAAGCGCTTCACAGGATACACTGTAAAGTGCAGTGACTGTGTATTTTGCCGGAGAAATGCGGCAGCCGATTGCGCGCAGCCGCGTCCCCCACAAACAGCCGCGGGTTGAAGTGACCAAATTATTATTATTTTTTGAAGGGATTATTACCCCCGGAAAAGCCATCCCCCAATAGACTAACAACCGGGTTCCCACTGACTGCCGGTAACCAGAGGCACACGTGTGTGTGTGTGTGTGTGTGAGTGGGGATGGGGGTCGGGGTACGGGGGGGGAGTAAGGAAACTTGCCCAACGTTTCGCCCTGACCTGACCCGCCCGGGAATCGAACCCCGGGTCCTCTCGCTCGCTAGGCGAGGGCTCGAACCCCCTGAGCCACAGGGAACTCCACAATTCCCAACACAACCTTCCGAGAACCTGACAGAAGCTCATGAAATGTCACAGAGGACAGTTGAGTGGAAATATTACTCATCCAAACACAATACGCCCATTGTGTGGATCACCGCTCTGCTTTACATATTAATTATTACTGTTCTTTGAGTCACAATTATCATTGTCGAGAGATTGGGATGAAAAAAGGCCCTTTTGGCCCTTTTGATCTCATCGTTCCAGAATAGCCACCAAAGTATTTCTGCTCCGGGCCAAAGCTTTTTGATCCATGTCTATTTTTGGCCTAAATTGACATTCCCGGACAAAATTTGGCCGTTGCGACGTCTGAGGATAATTTGAGGCCCTTTCGTTTCGGGAGTAACATCTCAAGAGTCGATTTACTGCAAAGTGTAGTGACCGTGTATTTCGGAGGCGGCCGATTGACGGGCGCCAGCGGCCCACGAACGCTCGCGATTAAAAACGTGACGCGATCTTTTGGAGGAAGGCAACAAGGACGTTAACTCGGTCACCTCAACCCGCGGCTGTTTGCGCGGGGAGGGGGACGCCGCTGCGCGCGTTTCGCCCGCAAAACACACAGTCGCTACACTTTACGGTGTATCCTGTGAAGCGCTTTGAGACGTCTCGAAGACGTGATGAGGCGCCGGGTCGAATGCGAGGATTATTAATATTATTATTATTATTATCATAACCCTCATGTATTGCCGGCTGGGACTAGATTCCTAACGCAGGTACAAGTAAAAGAAATAAAACTGGTTATTAACAGCTTATAATATTAATTATGTTTGTATTAATAAGCACAATAAGCACTTCACTGCAAAGTGTAGTGACTGGGTATTTGCGGGCGAAATGTTGTGAATGTTACATGGGAACAAAATCTCTCTCTCTCTCTCTCTCTCTCTCTCTCTCTATATATATATATATATAAACCACACATATATGTTGCCACATCCATAAAACGGGATGTTTCTGAAACACACAATGCAGTAAAAAAAAAAGGAAATACCATCAAGATTTGTGTCAGAGGTGGATTTTATCACGAGGGCGTGAAAGGAATAAAGAGCTTTGCGGGCTCCCTCCCTCCCTCCCTCCCTCCATCTCTCTCTCTCTCCCTCCCTCCCTCCCTCCCTCCC